TATATATATATATATATATACTTACTAATAATATTAGTTCATCAATTTTCTTAACTTCCTGTTCCAGTTATTGTTTCCAATATATTGTAAGGCTGACATGGAAAGAGGTAGATGATGATAATTGATGATATCATATTATAAAAACAATGCTCATGTTGACATGAAAGGGATGGCACAGGGATCAGACAGCGTGGACACCCAACTCCAATAACTCGAGAACAACGTAGCAAATGTTTTTCAAATTGATATCATAGGTGCATCCACTAAAACTCTGAGAGAGGTTTAATGAAAATCTTGTGAACGCAAAAAGGCCATGTTGGATGTTTGAATTACAGTAAAATATTACACAGCTAATATATTAGTAATTTGTTTTATGTAATAGCATCAAAACAGCATTTCACTTACAACCAACAAGGCCTTTTGGGATGGATAAAATAAGAATTTGCTGGATGTATATACAATAGCTAATCTGATTAATCCGTCTAGTGCAGGCCCATGCTGATGGGTTTCCTTTTCTTGACGTTGGTAAGTTGTCGCCCCAACGGAAGGGGTTACATGAAGAGGATGAGGGACCTGTGGAATCTTCGATACCCAACATCCACATTGACAGCAAAACAACTAGTAGCTCAGAGTTCCAACCTCTCTCTCTCTCGCTTGCTTTATCGTCCTCTCTATCTCTCTTTTGCATTTGCTCTTCACAGTCACATAACTAGGTTAATTGGGAACCCACCTGCATATTGATTGCAAGGTGGCGTCGGTCTGTATAAAGGGAAGCCAGTTCTTTTTTTAGTTTATTCCTCCCGTGCTTTTGGCAAAACGCAGCAGTAAATGCTGGCACACCGCTACAGATCAATCAGCAAGTTGAGCAGATCGCATGAAAGCTACAGGTAGGTTTTCGCTAGACCTCCAATTCCCTCAGAGTATTGGAATTTATAGTAATATATTTTTGCAGCCCCTTTGTAGCGCGGCCGTTTCTCTTTTACTGCAGTGTTGGAGTTAGAGGTGCTCGAATTATTTCCAGCAGCGCAGTATTATTTTTTTTAGGTATTGTCTGCTTCCGCTTCCGTGGCTGGCTAGAGCGATCATGCTAGTGCTAGGAATCCAATATTTCCTCCGCTGGCTTCTCCCAGTTTGCAGAAAGCTGCACCGGACTGTGATTGAGGCTTGGAAATTTATAACCAGCAAAAGCTATGGTTTGACTTGTGGGGTGCAAGTTTTCCAGTTTGCGCTGTGTGTGTGTGTGATTTGTTTTATTAAAGATTAAAGTTTATTTTATTTTATTTATTTATTTTAATTAGTAAACGGAGGACGTGGGGCATCATGGTGACAAGAGAGCTGAATGTAAAAGCAATGTAAAAGCAAAGCTCTGGATTTACTGGTCGATTTACATCCCTTACTCTTGCCCATCATCACAAGCTCTGGATGGTGACCAAAAGAAATGAGCTTTCTCCAAAGGGTAGCTGACCTCTCCCTTAGCGATAGGGATGAATGGATCAATTGATGGATGGATCTTTTAAGATTTGTTTATTTAATTTTGATTCATAGCTCCAGAACAAAAATATGCAGTTTTGTAACACACCCACTATGACTTTGGGTGAAAAAAACTGTTGTTATTGTTCTACGATTAATGTAATAAGTAGATGGTCATTTAGGCATTGTCTTGGGAAAGGAAAATGTAGTTCCTCTCATTAATGTAAGGGGGTGCCAGAAGGTTGTCTTTCTAAATGAGGTTTGGCTCCCCTTGGTGGTTAAAGATTTATTTGTTAAACTGTGCATTTAAATAAATGTGTGTTTCAACTCTAAATGTCA